TATTGCGATCAGGCAAACAATTCACAGAAGCTTTTATTTTCATTACCCTTTCAAGAGGAGCGCGTAACAACCTCTAGTTAAATGGACGAGTGTGATTCTAAAAGTGATCATGCAATTACTGTTATTCAAAAATCAACAAACGGAGCTTGGATTCCCGATGTAGAAGCGTTGAACAAGATCTTGAAGTCTAAGAATATAATAAACAAGAAGGTATCTTATATTTGATGTAGTACTAGCGTTTTTTTGAACAATTTTGTTGAGTAATCTTTTCGTCTATCGTGTTTAAGGCTAATAGGTTTCACGAGATCTTTCTCTTTATAATAAATTTTATAAACATTGCAATGAAAGTATTATTTTTGTAATTTTACTGCTTCTAAGGTAATGGTAGTGAGTATTGCTGGTCCTTCACGATCCGGAAAAAGTTTTTTACTGAATTTGATACTCAAAGCATTTTACGCAGCTGAGCAAGGTCGTTTGGAGCAAGAAGAGTTAACGATAGCAACCAATAATTTTGGATTTAGGTGTAGAGGAGGTTTGTTTATACTTCTGTTCAAAAGCGCAATAAAGGAAACGCTTCTAGTTTTTGTGAAGCCAGAAGAACGGTATTTGACAACTGCTTTCTCTAGGGGCAAAGAGGGAGACTTCAGGTATTGCTTTGTGGTCAAAACCGTTCCTGATCAGGAACCAAAAAGATGAAGAAATAGCTGTTTTATTGATGGATACCGAAGGCTTTTTTGATGCAGAATCTACACTAGAAGACTGCGCAAAAATCTTTAGCTACTCAAGCTTATTATCTTCTGTTCAAGTAAATCTTTAAAATAGTTGCTGTGTTTTGTGACCACAGCATTAGTTGCTACTCGATTTTTGCAGAACGTTGATTGTCTTTCTTAAAGATTTAAGGCAGTGCACTTTGAAAGTTTTTGCATCACAACATTTTTTCAAAAGATCTTCAATTTTTGATAATGCTTTCTTACTCGTAGCTTGTGTTTCTTGGTTTAGATTTATAATCTTAAAGAAAAGATTCAGCTCGACTTCTTAAAGCATGTTGAGGTGTTTGGCAGATATGGATCCTACGCAACAAAAAATGGACAAGCAAAACCATTTCAGGTTTTCTAAATTAGGGGTTATTGGTGGCTGTCTTTCAAAATTCAAGATGACTTTATTTCAAAATTGTACAGCACAGAGTATTCCAGAGTCTTTTGTACTTGGTACGGGACTGGTCTTGCGAGGATGAATATAAATATGGATTTGAAGGAGGAGAAGCCTATTTACGCTTATTTACCAATGTATTCGTCGTCTTCAGTGTTTCGTTGACCATTTTTCTACAAAAGCCTATACTTCAGATCTCGATTACTATTATTCTTTTCAAGCAACTGGTTTCAATCACAGTTTAAAAGATAAGCCTTGCAAGAAAAATTTTGCACTATGTTTATCTTTAAAGCAAAGTTCTTTTACAGAGTCTATCAAAGGAGGTTCAAAGAATCTGCAGAAAAATAGAGGAGTGCTTCGAGTCTTGCTCCTGCTTTTTAATGCCACATCCAGGCTTTTCAGTCGCTAAAGCTGCAACGATATCCGACTCTTCAAGTAATTTCCATTATCTTGTAACTTCAAAAACACTCAATTTATCCACTTTTTTCAGCTATTGAAGAAGATTTTTTGCAAATGACTAGAACACTAGCAAAAGAATTATTTTTCGGAAGGTTTCTGGGTGCAAAACAAATACTCCATCGTGAGTTAACCTGCAAAGAGTTATGCCTTTCTTTCATTGTAAGTTAAATATTTGTCAATTTTTGTTCGCCACAATCGCAATATGCAGTAGCAGCTAATAGCTAAGTTGTTTAGAAGTTTGCCAAACTATTCAACTCGAATAAAGTTCCAACACCAAAAGCGTTGTATACGGTTAGCAACGTTGAATTCTTCATTTTAAACTTCAGAGCTTCCAAAAATCCAAATTCTTTTTCAACTGTATTAATAAAAGTATAAATAACTGTACTTTTTGAAGTTATCTGGAGAGGTTATTTTCGAGAATGTTTACTCGGAATGCACGGAAACTTACGATAATGAAATTGACACGGTAATTTTCAATTTTTACTCAGCAATTAATAAAGCCTTCAATATCAAAAATCGCATTTTTGTAGGTCGAAGTAATTTTATTTAAAATTTAAACACATTGATAGTTTTTATTGAATATAAAAAAATATTGTTCATAAGAAACACTAATTTTAGTTTGTGAGAAGCCATAAAGAAGCATCACCTGGGGCAAACCTAGATGAATTGTACGAATTGGTAAAATACAGAAATTTTTCGGCTCTATTGAAACGCTTTCAGTTGTATTCTGTAAATCATTAATGTCTATTGATGAGCGTCTCAAAATTTTTTGTGCTGCTCGTTGGTTTTATTTCAGCATACGAATATGGCTGATAACAGCAGTGGTCCTGAATTACTACTTGAATTGGAAACAATTCATGATCGTACAAAGTGTAATGTCCTTAAGAAATTCGAAAGTTGGTCGGTCGATCCACAGTGCGACAATTTTCAGAAATTTTTTCAGAAACTCGAAGAATACATCGAGGTTCTTTCTTCTCTAAAAACCTTTATAGAAAATTTCAAGTGTGATAAAAACAGGCACAGTAAAAATGACACTAGATGAAAACTTTTCTCTTTCTCGTGTAATTCATAAAGATAGAAATTTATTTGAAAAGTCGAACTCAGTCTTTAAAAAACAATAAGTTTCAGCAACGGCACACAAACATTAAGTCCACTGTAGAAGAGCAACTCAAGAAAGCTCAAAAAATTGATGACCTAGTTGCCAAATGTCGTAATTCTTACAACGAGAAAATTGAAATTGCAAGTCTTTTCAATTTTTTTATTTCTTTTTTTTTTGCAACATTATTGGTTCCGTTTTAAAGTCAAAAGTGCTCGAACGCTCTTTAAGCTAAAAAATAAAAGAAAAAGCAAAAAACATTTCATTTGAAGATTAACACCTATGTCGCTTTTAATGTAAGCTGTTTTTCAGGATCTGTCAAAATGTGGTGCAACATGCACTGTAGCAAGCTTAGAACAGCTTTTCGAGTTGGTAAGTTCTTCGAAGCAATAAAAAATGGTACAAAATTTAGTTTCTATATTTTAAGAATTTTTAAATATTCTTACAGCGAAGTAAAGGCGGCGTCACCGACGAAGGTTTCAGCCGTATTCATGAAAACCAAGAAGCTGCATCTTTGCGCATTATTAAAGAAAAGCTTAAGATGTTTGCCGATGAAACACCTAACAGTTGGATTCAATCTTTCCAAGAAAAGATTCAGGTTGTAATTTTGCACTTCTAGTTCAAATTTTGATAATTAGCAAAAACCATACTCAAAAAGCAAAAGCAAAAACAATGGTTCACATGTGACGTCTCAACGTTTTTAGTAGAGTTCTAATAAAGCCTCAACTTCACTAAAATTACGATTGTCTTTACAGGAAAAATATGATACAGCACGAAT